ACTAGGAAAACGCCCAACTGGCTGCTCCACTATTAATGTTGCGGAACTCTTATAAAGTCATGGGATTTCATGTGCTCAGTTGTTGAAGAAAGGCCAAACCCCCAAAACAAGTGGATACAGAACTACAGAAACATTAAATGGATAGAGACTATAAAGATATAAAGTATATCTTGTTTCTTGCCAACCTGGCCCATCTTTCTCTTTCTTCCATTTCAAAGAACTAACATTTAATTGTAAAACAGGTAACCGGCAATGACCAAATCTCATATTATTGTAGTGATATTTTAGATAATGATTTTTTTTTCTTATTAAAAAAAACTTTTAAAAAAAGAGGAGTGTCCAGTTTCAATTCTGAAAAACAAGTAACAATTTCAGAAGATGGCTTTATTCACTCCTTTTCTTTTCAGATGCAGGGACAGATCCTGCAAAGGAAAGAACCCCAATCAACTGAGCCCATCACTAGACCAACTTTTATAAGGGTTGAATACAAATTTAAGACATATTTTAAAAATAGTTGAAAGCCAAGTAATTACAGGTGGCCTGAAACAGAGTCATACAGAGGCAAAATAGGGTTGAAAGCAGAGGCAGCAAATTTCATTCCAGTATAGTTTTCTGCTGACTCAAGGATGGATGGATAACACGTCAACTCAGCAGTAAAGAAAAGTCCTTTGACTTGTAGCACCTATAATTAATCTCTAGCTTTGCTATAAATAATAAAAGAAGGATCTGCTTTTTCTTTATCTCTGCCCTGCTTATAAGGTCTGTCGGTGTTCCAATTAGCACCCGAAAAAAAAATGCACCCAATGTTTTTCCCAGTAACAATAGTTTGGCATCTTACACTTATCTAATTAAGATTTTATGACATTTCTCCATTGCAAATTACCCAATGTGGTGCTTACACCCATATTTCAACATTAAGACAGTCTGAAAACAAATTCTGTGATACTGAACTCTTTTTATTGCCTCCTTACATATCACTACTTGTGTTGGTGATCTTTTTCTCAAACAAATGAAGCTACTTTAAAAGTTCCTGATTTTCTACCTAATGAAATGTATGCCAAAAAGAGACTTACAAACTTGAAGACAACTTATTGTTTCAAGGAAGCTTGCCAGAATTAAAATAAAATTAAAACATATAAATCAACAGCAAATATATAGCATACCAAAAAAATGACATATATAAAAATATAAAAGTTGAAAGTACATGTAAAAATGATAGTGACAGAACTAATACATTAGAAGACCAAAGTTGAAATTGATTTTACCTCAAGAGGCTCAGTATTTACTTTTATTATATCATTCCCAATATTGCAATGATATTTTTGCCCGAACAGGATGGCATTGTCATTCCTTCTTTTTTTTTTTTTTGGGGGGGGGGGGGGGGGAATACAGTTTTTTTTTTTCCCCAACACATATTTTTTCTAATTCATAGGGTTTGATTAGGAAACCCAGTTTCACCATACACTTTTTGCTGGATTTTAACTTCTTACCCATAATAGCTATTCTTTAACATCTGTACCACAAGGCAGACTTCATGAGGTTCATTATAACCATCTGTGTAAATATTACAACATGCTGTCTGGTATTACTTAAGTCCTTTATTACAACAGTTGTCCCCTACCAAGCCATGATTTGTCACAGCAACATTCACCTTCTTTCAACCTGTATTTCTCTAAGGCAGAAGAGAAATCAATACAGGTCATAACTGAAATGAGCCAGTAGTTCAATTTCTGACAAGGCACTGTAAAGAAGTACCTACTTGCTTGTAGTTTGTTGTTAAAAACTCATCTGCAACAATACTTGTATTGTTGTACATTATATAACAGGAAATGATCTTATTCCCATTATTGTGTAACAGGAAAAGGACTGTAGAATGTTGATTGTCCTGCAAGCTGTTTATTGACTGTACAGCTTTCACCTTACTTCAGGACAGAAGAAATTACTTTGTTTGGCAAGAACTAACGCAGAAAAAATGGAATGCTCTTGAACTGCAGCTTCATAGTTTTAGACATGTATTGTTCCAGCTCTGCTGCATGGATTTTATGCTATCCAGTAGTTCTTGCTTTTGTAAATGTCTTGCTAAGA